TTCCAACATCATTATTTCCATCAAACATGAATCTAGGTCTCTAACTAAATTACGAGTATTTAGAAATTGTGGAAATTTGTTGATTATTCAAAGATGGCACACAATCTACAAACTAATTGATAGTGTAGAATTAATTGAAAGATTTTAGAGAATTGCATTAAAATGAATAAAGTCTCAAAATCACAAAGATCTCAAAATATACGCATACTTATGACATTATCATTGATATGATTGGCCTAGTGGAAGCATTCAGTTGGTAGATCGTGGTAGATCACGATTAATGACTAACCGAAACGTTGTCATTATAAATAATTTTGAAAAGAAATTAATTATGTATAATAAAATACGTCGTTGTACGATATAGATATTCGTCACACACCAAAAGTATCACCAATCGTTATTAATTTTATTGTGTGGAGTTTTGTCAGTGTCATATTTGGTGTCCGTGTTTCTTATCGCTGAAAATTCTCATTTGCATCATTCATTCTACTCTCTAACTTATGCAACAAAACTCATTGTGAAATGACATGAAAACTAAACAGATATGGAGGAGAAGGTGACTGATACACTAAAAATCTTACAAAATGATGGAGACTCATTTTCTCAAAGAGCCGAAATGTATTATAGGAAGAGGCCGGAGCTCGTCGAATTCGTAGAAGAAGCCTTTAGAGCATATAGAGCTTTAGCAGAAAGATATGATCATTTATCAAGAGAACTTCAAAGTGCAAACAGAACAATTGCAAGTGTTTTTCCTGATCAAGTTCCATGCCAAATCGACGATGATGAATACGACGAAAGTGACACGGGAACATCATCCTTCTCATCTCCTGACCTCAACAACCAACTTCAGAAATCACCAGTCAATCCGAAAGTTCCAAAGGTTCCAAAGAAAGATTTTCGAAGTCCTTCAATGTTGCTATCGCAGAAAAGTTCAATGAAGAAACCTTCTAGTTCGCCAAAACATGTTATGAGAACTCCAAGATCAGGTCTCACAAAGGATGCGGCGTTAGGTGAAATTGACAAACTTCAGAAAGAGATTTTAGCGTTGCAGACCGAGAAAGAGTTCGTGAGAAGTGTGTATGAACGCGCGTACCAAAAGTATTGGGAAATTGAAGATGAGATAACAGGTATGCAGAAAAATGTTTGCAGTCTGCAAGATGAGTTTGGTGTTGGTACTGTCATTGAAGACGACGATGCAAGAGCCTTAATGGCAGCGACAGCGTTGAAATCGTGTCAACAGACGCTTTCGAAGCTTCAAAAGATACAAGCACAATCATCAATAGAAGCTAAAGTTGAATATGAAAGGGTAAGAAAAGCTCATGAGATGTTTGAGAATCTTAGAGACCAATTCATTACTAAATTCATGAGTGAAAAAATGCACGAACACGTCAAAGAATGCAAGAGCATAATGAGTCAAGAACAGAAAAACATCGACGAAGAGATAGCGAATTTGGAACAACAAGAGGATGATGTTGTTTTGTTGAGAGAAAAGATTAAGGAAAAACTGGAACGAGATTCTGGAAACTCTCTTACCGTGACTGAAATGGCCGAATGCATCGACGAGCTCGTGAATAAGGTTGTTACGTTGGAGACTGCGGTATCTTCTCAAACCGGTATGGTTAACCGATTGAGATCAGAAACCGATGAACTTCAAACGAATGTAAAGACGTTGGAAGGGGACAAGGAAATGCTTATAGCAGGATCAGAAGTTACTAACAAGAAGCTAAAAGAAATCGAAGAGGAACTGTTGAGAGTTAAAATTCTTAACAAAAGTGTTAAAACACAAGATAACAGCTTAAGAACACATTTTACGGAAGCGAGTTGCAATCTCGAGCATTTATCAGGAAAGTTGAATAACATGAAGCATGATATTGAAGATGAGAATTTAGTACTTTACAAGAAGAAGAAAAGTGTTTCTGATATTAATGATTCTGTCACGAACGATGTTAGTGCAGTCGAGAAAACTCATGATGATGGAAATTCGGATGATAAAACGTCGATTATGAGCCAAAACACGAATTTTATGAGTGAAAGGATTGAAAAAATGAGAGAAGATGCTAAGGATGATTTGAGTGATATAATGAGCAATGTTGATATTGAATCACAGGATATGGAAAGTGGTGAGGGTGCTCAACCAAATTGGAGGCATATGTTTGTGAGTGGATTGGATGATAGAGAGAAAATTCTGTTGGAAGAGTATACATCTGTTTTGAGAAACTATAAAGATGTTAGAGTGAAGCTTAATGATGTTGAACAGAAAAATAGAGACAGCATTTTTGAGTTGGCACTTCAGGTATGATATTATTATTATTAGTATCAACCTATTCTTTATTTTGAATTTGGAATGCGCACATGCATGAAATTTGAATAACTGATACTATATCTTATAGGAATCTCAAAATTCAACTCAGTAACAACAGATGACAAAAGAAAAGTGTTATGTTTAGTATTCATGTCTGCATCAATGTTTTATAATTCATGACAAACACTGACACATAGACATTAATAATAATTTATAAAAATGGAAGTGATTGAATGTAATCATGTGTTGATTTCATTCACTGACATGTGTCGGACACTAGAGACTCCTTTAATCTAAAACGTCGATCGGTGGTACATATCTAACAACTAGTTTTAATATCTACACATAGGAAAGTAAGATGAATTTTGAAATTAATGCTTTGTAGTATGGTATTAAAGTTTTGAAGTATAGAACATCTACTTGTTTGGAGTTTCTGCTTAGGTTGCTTAAATTAATCACTTTCATTTGTGGGACACTAGACACTCTTTCAATCTAACATGTAATCACTTTTTTAATATGTCAATACACTTTTTTAATCTGACATGTAATCAATCAATGAGATGGGCTTGACAGTAAACACCCCTTTAATTTAACATTTATTCAACACCAGACACTCCTTTAATCTGGCATGTAAGATGTGCTTGACACCATATACTCCTTTAATCTGACATGTATTGAACACCTCACCCTCCTTTAATTGACATATAATCAATCACTGATGTGTATTGGACACTATATTGGACACCAAACACTCTTTTATTCTGAAGGGTCGGTGGCTCGGTGCTACGTATGTCATGGATATATAGAACTTTTGTAGTCAACATTATAAAATAGTCTTCACTCCCTCCCACTAATATGTTATTGTCCATGCAGTTAAGAGAAATGAAGAATGCTCTTGTAACAAGGGACAAAGAGATACAATTTCTACATCAAAAGCTAAACTGTCCAGACTCAAATCCTGATGAAAGTCCATACACAACAGCAACCGAATACAAATACACACCACATGAAGCACTTCTTAGAAAATCAGGTCAAGGATCCAACATGCAGGAAATCGATATGGCATCTCTAAACATGGACACAAACTCAATGACAGCACCTTTTGCTGCAGACCAACAACATGATCAAAACTCAAGAAACCTTGGCCTAAAAATGACCCTAGAAAAGCTCATGGCTCACCAAGACAAGCGGCAAGACCTTTCGGATTTAGAAAAGAAATTCCGTTCGGACATCGACGAACTCCTCGAAGAAAATCTCGAATTCTGGCTAAGATTCAGCACCTCAGTCCACCAGATTCAAAAGTTCCAAAACTCAATCCAAGACTTAAAAGCCGAACTTAAGACAATAAAGGAAAACAGCAACAAATCCGAAGGACATTCCCATTCGAAACATCATCAATCTACGCAATCTCAACTTCGGCCGATTTTCCGACACTTACGAGAAATTAGAACTGAACTATCCCTTTGGCTTGAACACAATGCAGTATTACAAGATGAACTACAAGGTAGATACTCATCATTATGCAACATTCAAGACGAAATAGCGAAAGCCGTTAACAACGCAGTATCGAATAATGGCGAAAATGGCGAAAAAGGTGAGATAATAAGTGGTTATCAAGCTGCAAAGTTTCAAGGTGAGATTCTTAACATGAAACAAGAGAATAGTAAAGTTGCAAGTGAATTGCAAGCTGGTCTAAGTCTTGTGAAAGGAATGAAGAATGATGTTGAGAAAACACTTGATGAACTTGATCAACAAATTGGGGTTAGTAGTGTTCATAGTGACACGAAGAGGAACACAAGAGGGACTAGAATACCTTTGAGGTCTTTTCTGTTTGGTGTTAAGTTGAAGAGACAAAGACATCATCAATCATTGTTTGCTTGTGTTAATCCTACACTGTCTAAGCAAAATAGTGTCAATGATCAAGCACCAGCTCCATTATAGAGTTTGAATTTTATTTACTTTATTTGATGTACTTGGAACTTTGTTAAGGATTGTAGCATGATTGTGACAAGATATAGAACATGTAAGTGATTTTATATTTTACATATTCATATTTATTTTACATTATTTTCTCAAAAAAATCAACAATAAATACTAATCATAAAGCATAAGTAACTTTTATATAAGACAAGTTTATAAACAAGTAACAAGTTTTCAATTTCATTAATAAGAAGAAATAACAAGTTTTCAATTTCATTAATATGAATTTTTTTTTTTGCAACATGTATTTTTCCCGTTTTAAAAAAATCATAAACTAATCTTAACACTACTTTATTTTTTAAAAAAATCATCTTCTAATAAAAAAAAACTACACAAATAAAAACAAACATAAAAAAAAAAAATCTTAAACAAATGGGCCTAAGTAGCTAAGCATTTCAACATATGTCTATAAGAAAAATTAAGAAGAAAATAATCATAAACTGAAGTCTAAGACTTGAGGAGGTAAATTACACCAAATGGTTTTATATAAAAATATATCATTACATTAAAAAGTACTCTAATTTCTGTTAAAAAAAAATATTTATTGAAGAACAAATATATTTCACCTATATAAATCTGAAAAATAAACATTATCTTTTATAATAGAAATCAGAGAAAATCTTACAAAATAATAGAGATTTAAATGGATAATTTAATCTATAAAAGAGTTTTGAACCTTTTGATTTGTTTTTCATGTGGTAGGGATGCGGATTTCCAATCAATAATCCATATGTTCACACATTCGATATATGAGTGACGGATTCTGAGCTTCTTGAAATGGTTTATTTTTTAAAATTCTCCACCTCTGCAAACACCATTTTAAATAAATCAAACCAATGCAATATGGAAAGTAAAAAGAACTTAAGAACAAAAAATAATATAGAGTTGAAAAAAATGACCTTAGACAACTGTGCAGCAGTTCTATTAAGAGTAAAATCATCTCTTGCGGCCATTTCTGTCCAATTCCCTTCACCCCATTTCTGAACAGCAGCTTGTAATTCTATGTCCTCTCCCTTTGACCATGCTCCTTTTCTTTTATTTGATGATGATGCATTTGTATCATTATTTACCCTTGTTTGTCTATCCACAAGAACTGGAAAATTAATGCTTGTCTCTTGTGTTAAATTAGATGAAGCAACTTTTATAGGCAATGGTGCTTCAATTGTTGAGCTCGTTGCTGCTGATTTAGTCATTGCAACAGATTCAATCATTACCTATTCAATAATCAATTCACAAATCAGAATGAACAAATAAACAAAAGATAAATACATACTACAAATCTTACTATTTGATTTAAGAATCGATAGTTATGTAAAAACATCAGATATCATATTTAACGGCGCTGATTCAAAGCTAACTAAAAAAATTATAGTATGATTTCTTAATTATTAGAAATTAATGTTTTTCAAAATAGAAAAATTAGACTTTTCATACACTTCTATTTTTATATTTATAAATAATAAAATAATAAAATTAAATGAAGACAAAGAAACCTTGCAAAACACCAAATCAGTAACGACTTAGGAAACACTTATTATCTTATTTAAGAGTCGGCAATTCTGTAACGACGTCAGACATCAGATTCAACAGCGCTGGTTTAAACCTAACTAAAAAAATTATAATATGATTTCTTAATTATTGAAAATTAATATTTTTCAAAATATACCTGGACACATGCTGTAGCTTGGGATTCATTTTGCTTGGATATAGGTGGGAATGATTTCCGCTCACATTCCAAATCACTATCATCATCCTGCAATGAATATAAATATATTTTTGTCACTAAAATCACTTCACAATAGTAATTATTTCAAAATATATAACGAAATTTGTATATTGTTAAACATACCAGATCTTGAAAATCATGATCAACCAATGAATTTGCATACGCCAAATGGCGCCACAGAATTCGATACTCTTTCACACTCGAAATACCGGTCGAACTTTTCTTCACCAATTCCTTCCAGTTAATCTTCCATCCTGCATTACTCGCCACTTCCTGCAACAGCGTCAACACCGTCCTTGCGTCATACCTAAACATATAATACCAATATTCATAAGAAAACGACAATAAAATCACCAAAACGCATAGAAAGCATAGAAATATAGAAAGAGACTTTTTCAGGAGAATCGCAGAATCTTCTTTAGTGAAAGAAGGTTTGTTCTTGTTTTGCAACGTCTTTTGGAAGCTGTTGTTGTTATTCAACGTGGAAAAAGAACGTTTTCTCTCCATTTGTAACAGAATTTCAGACTTTTCCTACACTTTTATTTTTATATTTATAAATAATAAAATAATAAAATTAAATGAAGACAGAGAAACCTTCCCAAACACCAAATCAGTAAAGACTTAGTAAACATTTGCCACGTTTAGTGCTATTTGAAAAGAAGAAAAAAAAAAAAAAACTATTCCATCTATGTTTTGTATTGTTTTGGTAATTAATGATTTAGGGGTAATAAATTTACTATTTTCTCTAGTTTTTTAAATCATTCAAGATCTTATTTGAGATTTTTATCTATAGTATTTTTGAATGAATTTGCGTATCTTCCACAAATCAAATATTATAATTCAATGTCATATCACTTTTTTTTTTATTTAATTTTAAAATAAATTAAAATTCTAATATTAAAGATATTGATACCTAATTATTTATTATGAATACCTAAAAATATATTTGTTAGGGTACAAATTAACTTTATAATTTATTTTTAAATTAGTTTTTAACATAAATTATTTATTTGTGTATTTCTTAGAACACAAGTTAGCCTTATCATTTATTTTTTAATTGTTTTTTAACACAAAGTTTATATTTGTGTATTTCTTAAGGAACAAGTTAACCATACACAACTATAATTAATTATTTAATAGGTTTGGATTTTATTTAACAATCAATAACTTTAAATTATTTATGTTAGTATTTATTATATAAGTTTTATAAATTATTAAACTATTTTTTAAAAAGAATAATACTCGTAAACTGGCCGTATAAATATATTTTACATTATTAAATAATTATAGCCGTTAAATTTTTGTAAATTTATTTATTTTTATTTTTATCACATATAAAATATTATCTATAAATAATTATGATGTACCAATCATATAAAATATTTTACACTAACAGAGTATAATAATTAATGTCTTTCTCCTAAATACAATTGGATTGAATTTTTTTGTTACAACAATTTTTTTATGAGATAAAAACAAATGCGGCTTAAATTTCAAACGAAATTGTTAGCTTTGATCAAATTACACTTCTTTATTTGTTTAGATTTATAATAACAAATATAAAAAATGGAAAGAAATAAATTTTTAAAATTTTTAATTATTGGTATAGGCATAATATAAACTAATAATTAAGACTGATTTCATAGTATGTGAGGCTCTCGGATACTGTAGTATCAGAACCTCTACAGAAAGAAGGAGTGTATATGACATGAATATAATAAAGAGAGCAAGTAAGGAAGAAAAATATTTAACCATGGCACTATCACAACCAAACACTCCTCCTATTACCACCACATCTTCCCTATCACTTCCTAAACTCTGTAAAAAGACTGATAGCCATAAAATAGAAAACCGTGTTGAGTATTCTTATGTTCCAGAAGATGGTCAAATTACCGAAATAGTACCTCCCCTTTTAAACCCTTATAATATCTTTAAAAAAACAAAAACAATTACCAGATCCATCAGAAACCTAATCTCTACCAATCACCCTCATATGAAAGAGTACGTCCAGTCATCCCGACTAGATCAATGTAGTTTGAGAGCTACAAATCAAGAGCAGTATGTAGATTTAAAGATTCCTCAGAGTCTCATAAATCACCGGAAATCTGAAGGATACACAACTTTACATTTTGGAGCAGTTAGACTCATCCTCTCTCTCCATGGAAGAAAAAATCAGCCAGTCTTCTGCAAAATAGCTCTCCTAGATTCGAGCTACCTCCATTATGAAAATGTTGTCATAGGGACTATTCTAACCTCACTTCATGCAGGAAGCGTTGTTCTTACTGTTTTTCCAAATTATAATGTAAGCCTCAACGACAGCACCCTATCTACAAGATTAAAAGTCCAAGTTCAAATCATTAGATCTGACCAAGTTCTAGAGGCCATGTCCACTACTCTCCGTCACCAAATAATTTATCGCCTACAAAATCATTCGATAGATTTTCCCCTCATGGGATATTCTTCTGATTCTCTGTTAGTAGTTACGAATAGAGAAGAAAATATACCCTTTATCGTTCAGATTCCAAGAAAGATCACAAGGGAAGAACTAACTCAGTTAATTCCTCTTGAGTGGATAACAAACTATGAAAAATTCATCAAGATAGAAGACAAATACAATCTCAAGAGGCCACTTTCAGAAGATCCATTGACAAAACGGTCAAAACAATTTTCAAAAAACCAGATGAAGGACCGAGTTCAATTTCTCCTATTTTCCAGACCATGATGATCCGACCGATTCTCAAAGAAGATTGGTGCCCAATTCATGTTGTAACTAGTAAAGGAGAACCTATTTATACTGACAAGATAAATGGTCATTTTATTTGGGACGTAAATCCCAATAAATGCGATCCAGGATGTGAATGTTGGATGCACGATAATGATTATGACAAAGATATTATCCTTCCAAAAAGAAAAAAACAATGGGGCGTGCAAACCATATCTTCCTCCACAAAGAAGATACGATCCTGATAATGGTTCATGGGTAGGTATCCATGATAAAAAGAAACCTCTTCTTATTTATGAGTAAGCTCTCAAGATCCTCGGGAAAGAAAAATTGTTGCAACCAAATGATCCTACTCTAGTTACATGGTTACCGTCAGACTACTGCAAACTTTTGGACCCTCCAAAAATGTTGAGCTAATCCCTTGCTTTATGTACTCAACTATGGCACCAGATTATAGCCAACAATTTCCTGCTCTAGAAAGGAAGATGGATCTAATCACTAGAAGAACATCCAAACCCTTCATTCATCCTAATGAAGTACAACCCGGTGGACAACTCAAACCTTTAACTCAAGCTGAAGAAGTTCTAAATTGGAAATCGGAAAACATGATTTCTCAAAATGATATCCTCCAAAATCTCGACAAAAAGGTGGATAAGATTGCTGAGAAAATAGACGAGACAAATGATCAACTCAAGGTTCTGTCACAGAAAATGCAGAAGCATTACAGAAGCTTAAAGGCTCAAGTGTCTCAGCAGGATCGTGATTTACGACAGATGTTAGAAGAAAGAAATTTTGGCAAAACTTTTAACCAAAAGGAAAGATAAATCAGAAACCTACAAGGCCAAGTAAAAGAAATAAATGATTTCTTAAGAGCTTCACATGAAAGAAAGCTCAAGCCTGTTGAAAACCCTTTCTTTAACCCTCCTACTTTCCCTACATATTTCAAACGACCAGAAAGGCCTTCTCCTTTCTTCCCTACCTATGTTTCTTCACTACCATATCAGGTCAAATACATACCTACAGCTTACAGACCAAAATCTACCAGAACTACCATTACTTCAACCTCCAAGACAAAAGGAAAGGCCACCTGTTTAAGCGCTTCATCCTCAGAATCTCAGGATTTCCCTGAAACACCTCCTCCAAAATTCCAAAAGGAAGAAGAAATTCCTGATAAAGGCTTCCAAGCCATGGAAATCCCTGGAAATTATGAATTTCCCCAGAAAATTTACTCTCTTGTTGAATCATCAGCACAAAAATAAGATGAGTCCTCCTCGGATGATGACAAAGACTCCTATCAAGGAATGTCTAGTGATGAAACACCAAGATACTTTTCATCAGAATCATAATCTAAAGTAAACTATATCCTAGGACTCTTCATGGCAAATATAAAAGAGGAATATTCATTTTTTGAAGAATCTCCTGAAGAAACTTTAGTCCCTGAAAGGACTAAACCAAATGGCGATCCTTGGTTCACATTTGATGATATACCGCCAAGTCGTTGGAGAAAGAGACTACTCGAATTTGGAGCATGGCTTGATACCCAGATGATGAAAACAAATGCAGATAGCTATAAGGTCATTGAATAATTTTGTTGTAGAATGACAGGCACGATGAAGGAATGGTACCATAATCTTGGGGCTTTCAAATAAGATGAGTTACATCATTTAGAAAGCACAGATAATATTCTTGGCATACTCCACCAGGAGTTTATCAGAGATATGGATATGTTTGATAGAAAAAACAGACATGAATTCTTTGAGATGAAGTGTTACTCCCTCAAAACAAAAGACCTCGACAAACACTATCATAGGATGGCACAGAGGTTTTATCTCTTCAATGGGTACAATGATCCTAGTCTCAAGAATACCTATGTATCCTCTCTACCACACGAAATCCAGCAAGAAATCCATAGGATGGTAGAAATAACTAAAAAGGATATTGCAACAATGAGTCTTGGCCAAATTCATCAGGCGGCATCGGAAGCAATTGAAAAGCTTTGCAGCTTTCATCATCAATTTCAAGAAGTTATACAGCAAAAGTCAAAATTCACCAAGGCATGCAAAAAACCTTATCTGGAGATTAAGTGTAAAGACAAAAGGTGCAGTTGTGTGAAAAAAAAAAAGAAACATCATCATCAAAAATACTCCAAATCTCATAGGACCTTTAAAGGAAAGAAAAAGAAGGCTATGAAGTTCTTTAAAAGAAAATCTTTCAGAAGAAAGGGGGAAAATCGGAGATGCTTTATTTGTGGGAAAAAGGGGAAGTTTTCTAAGGAATGTCCTAATAACAACCACAAAGCTGCAAAACTAATCAATTCTCTTCAACCTATAGATGGAGACCTAGAATCTTTGTATTCTGAACAAAGCTCTGCTAATGAAGAAACAATATTTGCCCTTCAAGACTTTGCGTCTGACGAAGCATCATTTTCTGAATCAAAAGATGAAAAATATTTCCTTGTTTACTCCTTCAAAAAGATAGGAAGTTGTGTTACAGTGGCAGAACCAACTGTTAATATTGGTTTGCATTTTTTGTTTGCAAATGTCGCGGTAAGCAAGAGTTGCCACCGAATTTTCTTTTATCCAACAAAGGAAAGGGTGAAAAGAACAAAAAAAAAATACCTTTTTCGAGATTTTCTGAGTAAGGGGGTGTTTACCGTTGTTTTTGGTAAACAACCGTTGATCTCCGAAAAGGAAAGTTCTTTTTGGTTTACTTACGGGATCGATAAGATTAATCCCAAGACATATGCTAATTTTTATGTAAAATGGATAAGCAGGAAGAACACATG